AAGAGGATGGCGTTTTTCAATTTTAATGGCATGGCAGTTTTTACTACTAAGTGCATGGTATTTTTTATTAACAATGTGATGGCATTTTTTATAAAGAGGGTGTCATTTTTTATAAAGAGGGTGGCATTTTTTATTTCGAGAGATGGCATGTTTATTTATTTAAGAAATGAGATTTTTTATAATAAGAAATTGCATTTTTATTTTAAGAGATGACATTTTTAATTTTAAGAGATGGCATTTTTTAATATTAAGAGAAGGCATTCTTATTATTAAGAGATGGGGTCTTTTTATTTTTAAGAGATGACATTTTTAATATTTAAGAGATGGCATATTTATTATTTAAGGGATGGCATTTTTATTATTAAGAGATGGAATTTATTATTATTAAGAGACGGCATTTTATATTAAAGATGGTATTTTTTTATTAAGAGAAGGCATTTTTATCCCGAGGAATGACAGTTTTTAAAGCTTTTAGCATAGCATTTTTCATTTGTGTACTTCATACAATGTTTTCTTAATCATACTTACTTGTGTATTTTATGAAATTTAGAGAGATGGCATTTCTTTTATATAGTAGCCTGACACTTTTTTTCATAAGTTAGTTTGTGGCAACTTTTAGTGTCTTTTTGTTGATGACATTTTTCGGAAAAGAAGGTTAATTGGGACACTGGCCCAAACACGGCGTCGCGCTGGAGGCAGCGAGCGAACCAGGCGAAAACGTTGGCTGGAGGGTGCCTCCCCTAGCTAACCAATCGTTCGCGAGAGGCAACCCCCAAGCTGATGATCGCCAGATAAGGGCGTCCTTTTCCGTCTATATAAAAAAGGCCCTTTTTCTGCTCTTGCCTTTCTAGTGAAAAACAGTTGTTGTGTCAAAGTTGACCCATAAATTGTTACATCAGTTTTTTTATTTGAGGTAATAGTTTCATATTTAAAAGTATTTGTAACATGAGTAACGTGTGCACAAATTCTAAAATATTAGACTCCTCAAATGTCATTTTATTTATGAAATTACTCGATTTTCTTTGGACAAAAGAACAAATGCTCCGGGTCATGGACTCAGAGTAACATGTCTTTTGAAGTTAAAGGAATCGAATGCCTGATTTTGTTAACGAAACAAAGCATCACAACTAACATATGGACAACGCCAAATAGTCATTTACAATAGCATGTGTGGAGGACAAACTCCATATGAAAGATTTACTTGCGACAGAAGTCTAACGTAGATGTTCTTGTTCTTTAGTAAAAATATGTCGTCTACAGCTTTGTCATATTCTCATTGTGTTTTGGTGTCGTTTTCTTTTCCATTCATTTTTGCGATGGGAGACAACGGCCAACCATGTGGCATATATTACGAACCACCGCGATGGTAGGATTTCTAATGTATTTCACTTGAAATTTCATATATTTTTGCACAAACACTCGGAGAGCTGCATGTATGCGCCAGTTTCATGTTTTGGCCTTGGAATAGATTTAGAAGTATGTTAGAAACGGTTGTCGAGTTGTTGAGTTTGGAATTTGATGACAAAGAACTGGCGATTGCATGTACTTTGCAAGATGATATCGAAACATTAGAAATTAGTTGATTTGTTGGCATTTGTAGGAAAATCACTTTGTAGTCTGCCTCGCTTGTTCGACAAAATGGCCTTGGGCAAGAGTGCTTCAAAATCCTATTGGGAGTGGATGAATGCATCCTGTTTAATCGTGTGCTCAACTATGTGACCCAACTTTGCTCAACTGGTGTGGGACTTGCCATCAGCGGATGCTCTTAGTAAAAGGGGACCAGATTGGCTACTGTTGCTTTTACACAAACTAAAAGGGGACCAGATTGGCTACTGTTGCTTTTACACAAACTAAACGAGACCCAACGACTGCTACTGCTCATGGCTTTGGCGTGTATGGCACATTCATAATGAACTGATGAGAAGCCTTTGATTTGAGTTGAGGTGTCGAAATGGTTCCTCTGCAATCAAGTACTCCCTCCTTCTCATAATATAAGAACATTTTTCAAGCTTCGGACGGAGGGTGTACTTTCCACTTTTCACACGCCCATGCAATCAAAGGAAATTTGTCGACCATGACCGAGGGCAAAAAAGAAGTTGACGTACAAGACAGGTGCACTGCCGATTTAATTAAGAAAGAGAAACAAAACAGTGGCCAAGTTTATATGTGAAACCAGGCCAAAAAACCGTACAACACACGATTGATTAAGGGACAATCGTGCAAACACCCAACAATGCCGACACCGGCCAAACCCAACTCCACCTCCAACATGCCCATAACCTGAAAATGTGTGGGCGCATGCAAACAAGTCTTTTTTCCGACCATTGAAAAAGCCGTTGAGAAGTATTATGAATGGTTCAAGCTTCGAAGAAATGCATGCGTAGAGGTTTTAAAGCACCACAACTATCTTATGAACGAAACCAAATAGAAACGACAAATCATTTACAGATAGCATGGTGTGGAGGAAAACCTCCATACGAAAGCTTCACTTGTGACGGAAGATAGAGGTAGGAGGTGGAGCGTCTTCGTCTTGCACGGAGCTTCGGTGGTGGCGTCAAGTCATGTCTGGTCGACAGGTGCTACGCTTTGTCATGTCTGTTTGGCAAGTGCTGCGCACGACAGATCTTCTAGAATCTTCGCGTACATGGCGTCACATCTTATCATTTTCGTTTTATCCACCTCTTGATTTTTTTTATTATATATGAATGGAATACAATTGTTGTTTCACAGTTTATTAATAGTTCCATATTAAGTTCAAGATATACATTATTTGTATGATGACTAAGGTGTGTACAAATTCTAAAATATTAGACTCCTCAAATGTCATTTTGTTTATGGAATTACTCGGTTTTCTTTGGATAAGATTATCAATGCTCCAACTCATGGACTCAGAGTAACGTGTATACAAGTTAAAGGAATTGAGTAGTACCTTTTTTTTTGCGGGTGAGTAGTACCTGGTTTTTTAACAACGCAAAGCATCACAGCAATTGTATGACCGAAACCAAATAGAAACGGCAAGTCATTTACAGATAACGTAGCTAGAATGGTGTGGAGGGAAAAAAACTCCATAGGAAAACTTCACTTGCAAAATAAGTTTAATGTAGGTGTTCTTGTTCTGTACTCAAATTATGTCATCCACCGTGCCTTGTCATAATATCATTGTGTTTTGGTGTTTTGTCTTAATCTCATTGTGTTTTGACTTGTTGGCATTTGTAGGAAAATCACTTTGCATCCTCCCTTGCTTCTTCGACAAAATGACCGTGTGCCCAACCCAATTATGTGACTCGATTTTTTCCTAAAAACATAAAAGTGGTCCTCGATTGAGGCTTCTTGTCTTATTTGATGGGCCCATGTTTTAGTCTCTACAACTAGAGGATACGCGCGCTTTGTTGCGCCGTTCTTCGGTTTTGAAATTAATTGTATTTTTCTCCCAAAGCTAATTATGACAATTTACATCATGTGTGTACTACAGAGGCGGTTTGCATAAGCACGGACCCTGCGGGCGCTATTAGGGTAGCTGTGTAGGCTGGTCCGTCCGGTTTTAGAAGGTTTTGCTTTTTCGTTTGTTTTTTTCTCTAACGGTTTCTTTCATGTTTTTTCTTGTTTGATTTTAGATATTTTTTTATTAATGAACAGTTTTTGAAATTCAAAAATGATTTAAAATTTTGAATAAATTCCTTACTCGTGAAGATTTTTTGTATTCATGACCATTTTTAAAAAATTGTGCACAATTATAAACTTGTGAAAAAATTAGATTCATGGATATTTCTTCATATTTTTGAAGATTTTTAAATTAAGTACAATGATTAAATTCAAGAAATTTTTTAAAGTTTGTATGAAAATTTAAGAAAAAATTGAATGTTTTTATTTTATCTTAAAGTGTTTTAATGGAGTGTCGGCTATTTGAGACCCACGACCCGCCCATACCCTTACATGCAGGGTCCACTTCGAGGAAAAAAAGTGAAGCTTTGTTAGGGCATCTCCAACGCTGACCCGCAAACCAGGCACCGCATCCGTCTGCAGATTGGGGGAACCAGTCCGCCTACATAGATGCGCGGGCCGACCATCCAAAGCTATTTGCATACATTTTAAATCTAGTTTCAACTAAGTGGATGAATTTCATCAAACACGATAGAATTTATCAAAGTTTAGATGTAAAATAGCACAAATCATCCATACATGGCATGCAAATAAGTTTATACAATAATTGTTCAAGGCGAGCGGGCATATGGGTGGGTACCTGGTTGCAGACAGATCTTGCGTGAATGGTGCCGTAGTACAAGGCGAGCGGGCATATGGGTGGTGGCTGCGGACGTTCGGCAATGGCGTCAAAGGAGGGGTTGCAGATGCAAAGTAAAGGAGGACAGTAGAGTGAAAGAGAATGGGGTCGGAGAGGGGGTTTGAGTTGGTCGGAGTTGGCCGGGTTGTCGGAGTCCTACGTGGACGTGGTCCAAAATCCGGTGAAACCCCCAATTTGCTTTCAATTTACAGGAAAAAACTCGTCCGGGCCGGTTGATAGATAGATGCAGGCCCGTGTTGGACGATAAAACATGTCCAATCCACGCGGTTGCGGGTGAAGCTTAGTAATTGTAAGGAATTTTTTTTATCTCAGAAGCCACATGTCCAAATGAGACTCCTCTCAAAATCTTGTGCCCCTGTTTCCGCCAACCCCGCCCATAGTTTAGTTGAGAGGATCCATGTTGCGTGTATCTTATGAGAGCGTGCGAGTACAGGGATGGTTTGTGGCAGCATGTGCTTAGATTCATGGTTTGTTTGTACTATATTTTTTATTTTACTCAAAACAAGTGACGACTCAGTAGCACTCTTGGACTGGAAGCAAACAACCGTACGTGTCAGCGCGCCCACGCCCACACACGGCTCAGATCAGATCAGAATGTACATTGCCAAAGAAAAAAAGTAAGTAAAATGCGGTAAGCTCAAATTCAGAAGTCCGACGAGCTAGGCGAGCGGCGCCGGCGAGGTGATGCACACCAGCCCAGCTAGATGGCGGCGTCGTCCCAGGTGGCGGCCCAGTTGGTGGCGCTGCCGACGCGGGGCATGGAGTTGATCTTGGTGAATGCGTCGACCTTGAAGTTGGCGCCGCACATGACGCCCTCGCTGTCCACGCGCGGGAACGCCTTGAGCCGGTTCATGGGGTGCTCGAAGCTCTTGAGCCCGCCCTCGCTGTGGAACATGCACCCGGGCGGGAACGGCGCGTACGACCGCCCGCACCCGGCCTTGGCCACGCCGCGGTCGTCGCAGATCACCACCGACCCGTCCGCCGCCACGCCCCAGTGCAGCGGCACCCCGCCGTCCGTGCTCTGCGCCGCGAACACCGCCGCCCCCGACCCCGACCTGCCGCGGTTGTCGAAGACGACGAAGGCGAAGGAGCCGGACAGGTCCTTCACCACCTGGTCCGCCGGGTAGGGGCCCCGGTCGCGCAGGGTGCGGTAGGCCTCGATCACCAGCAGCGCCTCGTTGGTGGAGCGGCCGGTGAGGCCGTACTGCCGCATCAGCGCGCTCAGGTTGTCCAGCGTGCCCATGAAGACGCAGTAGATGTCGTCCAGCCCGCAGAACATCCTGCGCACACAGAAATTCTTAGTCTCCAGGCATCGTTGTTGGGAGCGATTTGGGTGATGAGAAATGGTGTGGTTACCTCTGGTAGCCGGCGGCGGCGAGGTTGCGGGGCTGCGCGGCGACGCAGGCGAGGGCGGCGCCGCCGCCGAAGGAGGTGGAGAAGGCGTCGGAGGGGTGGGCGGCGTGGAAGTCGCGGAGGATCTCGTCGGGGTTCTTGGGCTTGGCGGTGCTGCCGCGCGGGCTGTTGAGCTCCTGCGGCGCGTGCGCCACCTGCTTCTGGAAGATGGCCAACATGTTCACAGATCAAACTAGTACTACACTTGTTTCTTGCTCGAGCTGGAGCTGCTGTTGCTCTGGAGGCGACAGGAGGAGAGGAGGACGGGAATGGCGAATGGAATGGAGGTTGAGGATGGAGATGGGCGCCTGTTTTATAGCGATTTGGGATGGCACGAGCCGGAAATATCGGGTTGATCGGGAGTCAGTGCTGGTGATGATGATGTGAAGGACGGAATGGGTTGAGTTTGGATAAAGATTGCTCACCGGGGTGAGGTAGCGGGGATAAGATCATCACGTACTACTCCGGTAGTACTAGTTTAGTTTACCCGGCAGCTAACCGTGACGTGACAGCAGTAGCAACGAGTGCTACTTCCTTCCCCGGTTGGGTTCCCCCAGCCCCAGGAGAGGAGGCGATGATGGCGCAATCCGGTGGGTGGGTGGGTGCGCTCGCAAGTCGCAAGTCGCAAGTTGCAGCATCTTGTCGACGGTTTCGCCAATCTTAGCAAGTGATGAAGTAAATTACACTGCAGATCGTTACTCTGTCTCTGCAAGTGATGAAGCAAATTACACGGTTTCGCCAATCTTACCAAGTTGCAGCCCCAGTAGTATTTTTTTTATGAAAAAGACCAAAATCTGTTATAAAATTGACTAATGTAAAAAACTTTAAACATGGTAAAAAAAACGTGGTTTCTGAACCATCGAATGATCACTACCGTCGACAGAACGCAGCATTGTTGTCGTTGCTACCCCACTAGAGCTGCCATGGCCTGGTTGATGTCAGATGTGAACTTTTCATTCATGTATCCCTAAGAACCAGCCTCCTTCTTTAGTAAGTCATCATTGTTGGACGCTTGAATTGATCTGAAGCACCCAACACTAGATCTTGTACTCGTGGCTGCACGACCAGAAACCATAACCTCGTTGCCACAAGAAAATGCCACGAGTCTACGCTAGAGTTGTCGACTCCTTACCGACCGACGGACTTGACACTTGAGGATGTCCGAAGTTCGGATGACCAGCTCAAAGATGCCAACCGTCTATAGTCCTCGCAACGAGGACTAAAATACCCAGACTTCAACTGCTAGCCCAAGTCCAGACACTAGAATTTTCCTCTCCGGCATGGGACGTCGGAGCCGAGGGGGAGACAGATCCATGGCCTCGCTAAAGAGAATGAGTTATTAGAGCATGTACATCTCGGCGCCTCAACCCCGCCTCATACGTCTGGGCGGGCCACCCGGTCATTGTCCAGTCATGATTTTTTGACCCAGATGGTCCCTCAAACGCCCGGGCTAACCGGCAATCTTCATATCCAATCCAAATATGAGAGGGATATAGGGGCACACGAGCGTGCCCGTCACGTCGGACCCGGCCCACACTGGCCCACCCTGACCTCACATAATTTTCTTCTCATCTGCTCGCCGGACCAAACCCTAACCACTTCACTCTCCTCCCCTCCACTCCCCTCCGCCACCCAAGCTCGTTTCCGACTCCTTCCGTCCGTCTCCGGCATGGCGGGCAGCGAATCCGAGTCCTTCACCTCCAGATCCGTCGACCCCAAACTCATCCCACGCGCCCTCGAGGAGGAGATAGCCGTCCGGCTTGCGCTCCGCCGCGCCCGAGAGGAGACCCGTGCACCGCTGCACTCGGAGTCCTTCCACCGGGAATCCATTTTGTCCGCCCAAAATGGTGCATGGATTCGGCGCTAGGCCAACCGTAGTTGCCTCGCCGGAGGACGTGCGGTCCTTCGGGCGTCCGAACACGCTGGCGGACGTGCAACCCCTCTGTTGGTGCGCCGAGCATCGCGACACATCATGGGGCTCGTTCGACGAGAACATGGCATGACGTGCCCACTGTGTACAGCACTGGGCGTTGGAGGCGGCGGTAGCCCTCGTGGCGGTGGACGTTGGCGAGGCGGAGTCGCATTCTTTGGCTCCCCGTATGGCGCATCAGTCTGGGCCCCCGCAACCGCATCATGGTGGACGTCAACGGCTCGTCTCCGGACGGGTCTGTCATCGATCTGACGTCCACCGGCACCCAACGAGTTCCGGGCTCCGGCGAGGAAGAGTAGGGCATGGGAGGCGGCGGCGCCTTGTGTCCCGTGAGCCGGCTCGTGTCCCATGTCCTACTCTACCTTGCCGGTGACCGGACCAACACTTTGAGGGGCGTAGCCAGCCGCCGAACATGGCCCTGGCGGAGCTAGGCGGGCGGGGAGCGGAACCGGATGCAGCTCTACTCAAAGATTGTTGCGTTACCTGTAATAATATAGATTTAAGGTTTCTAATTTGAGGTATAAAAATGTGGGATGCATTTTTTTAGGTGTGATCGGTCATGCGAGTGAGGGAGGAAAAAAACTAAACGTAATTTATAGATCATGTATTCGACGGATTATTCTGCTATATACACGTACTAAGAGCAATTTTAATGGGAGGATCTATTTTGTCCGTTTGGGTCATCCGGACAGAAAACTTGGTTCAACGGGGCGACCCAAACGGACGTCCGTGTCCGCCTGCTGTCCGCCCCCGACCCAAACCTGACCCAAATCTGGGAATAAATGGGTACGAAGCGGACGCTCTCATCCACCGCTGTCGCCCGCTCGTGTCCGCCCCAGTGGCGGAGCCAGGGGTATTCCTGGGCATTCCATGGAATACCAAAGAATCTGGCCCAAAAAAAATTGAGTATACATGTTATACACCGAAGCCCACTAGAGCAGCCCATCCAGCCACGCACCAGACGCCAACAACAGAGCAGGTCTCCGTCTCCCACTCTTCCTCTCTCGATGCAAATCTCCAAACCTAGCTGACCGTTGACGGCGCCGGCGCCATCGCCAGCAAGCGAGGTCCGACGGACGAGGTGGGCCCTCTGCCCCTCTGGCCGTCTCCCTTCCCTCCCCTCCGGCCTCCATGGCTGGCTGTGGTCCGTGCGGGGCAGCGCCGCTGCGGGCTTCCTCCGGCCTCCGTCGCCGTCGGCAGTCACCGCTTCAGTCCGCCAGCCGAGAGGCTAGAAGGGGAAGCCACCCAATGTCCAATCCATCCAGTACTGCATCCATCTACAAATTACCAAGGTAAATTTCCTCTGTCTTTTAAACAAATCTGAAGCTTTTTTGATAAATTTCCACTGCTAGAAGCCACTGATCTGCCACGGATTGATTGCTACTTTGTTGATTTGTTCTTGTATAAATTGTAATTGTTTGTACAATTGTCCATCAGTTCATACCACTGATTGCTACATTGTTTGTCCATTCAGTCCATGCCACATTGCAACTGCCACTTATTTCTACTTTGTTTGTGTGATGTAAGATGAAGAAGTATGTTGGCATATTTGAATTGTGGGACATATCTTCAAACTAAGGCAAGGAAAACAATTTCTACGTCCACATTTGTTGTTTGTTCTATTATATTGCTTTGGCCAATTATTATTTTTTGCTAGTATTATTGATGTATGGTCATCGAGTCATTGATATTTTCACAATGTTATTTTCTGGCATCGATGTATGGTCATCGAGTCATACCTATTATATATTGTTGTTAGAGATATTGCCACAATGATATTTTGCTACTATTGTAAATGTATGGTCATCGAGTCACCGATGTTACCATCTTACTACATATATGTCGTTCTATTATATTGCTTAGGCAAAAAAATTTTTTGCAAGAATACCCAGGAGCAAATTCCTGGCTCCGCCACTGGTCCGCCCCTGGTCCCATATGTCAGCGACTGCAACGCCCGTAGCAAGGCCACCGGTGCTGGTCTCCACCGCGCGCTCGGCCGCTCCTCCGCACTGCAGCAAGGCCACCCCGCGCACTCGGCCGCTCCTCCGCGTCGCAGCGAGGCCGTCGGCACAGGTCGCCGACGCGCGCTCGGCCGCTCCCCCGCGCCGCCGCGAGGCCACCGGAGCAGATCGCCACGGCGCGCTCGGCCGCTCCTTCACGCCCCAGCGAGGCCACCGACACAGGGCTCCTCCGCGCGCTCCTGCTGGGGCTCGAGGCCCGGACGGCGGCGCGAGCAGAGGATGGCTGCAGCAGAGGCGCGAGCAGAGAAAAATCTCGCGGGGGAGGGGATCCGCGAGGAGGAGAGGAGGGACGGCGCGAGGGAGAGAGGAGGGGGCGGGCGGCGCGGAGAGTTTGGGTCGACGTGCGTTGGATACAAGGCTTGTCCGCCCCATGTCCACTAGGCGGACAGGTGATCGAAACGGACACGAAACGGACAAAATCGGTATCCGTTTGGATCCTTGCGTTGGAGTTGCTCTAACAACTTAAAAAAAAACCTCCAGAGTACCAGTAAGAGAAGCGTTGCACATCACACGGCTCCAGTTTGATTAATTATCGAAACTACTCTTCACAGCTTCCACGTGATGGAAACGGAGGAGTCGCGGTAATTACCGCCGGCGCTGCGGAGGAAACGGCAAATGGAGCCCGCGGGCAGGCCGCCAGCCGCCGTCGGTTTCGTCCGGCGCCAGCGGTTTACGAAACGAACTGCCAGTGTTATCACGGCACCGGCTGCGTCTTCCACGGCACGTCGCCGTCCTGGCGTGTCACCCAACCGCGGGCTTCCTCTCGTCCGTCCGTCCGCCGCTCCGCTCCGGCCGTTGGGCCGCGTCGCGTGCGCCCGGCGTGCCACGTACTGCTCGCGTTTTTTTTTTGAGCAAAACGTACTGCTCACGTGCACTGTCCCTCACGTCGTCCCCACCGTACTGGACAAAGCTTGCCGGACCGGATGGTGGGTGCCGCTGACATGGATGGCTCACCGTCGTCGAGTGCGGTCCGCGGGCCCGAAAGCGCGTGATCCAAGGCTGGGTGGGTGGGGGATGGATAAGGGCGGCACGGCGGCATGGTCGCTGGGGACACGTCACCGGCGCGTCGGACCTGCCACGATCCGTGGATAAGGTGGTAGCGCAGGCACGTACCAGCCGTGTCCGTTGGGCGCGCCAGTCACGGCCGGGCACGTCGTCGCGGTCACGTGTCCGGCGCGACAACGAGTCAGCCTTTTGGTTTTACTATTCGTTGCTTTGATTTTGTTTCTTTGGATTTTGTTTGCTTGGCTGCGGCTGCAGTGGACTACGTGCAATGAAACGCGCACGGGTAAGGCCAACTCCACCGTTCCCAAAAAAAGGGCCAACTCCATCGCGCGACCTCAAATGAATCCGGCTTTGTCAGATGGATTGTGCGTGCGCCTGCCGCGCGGCCGCACCCCAAATTATGTCTGGGGTGGACGTGAATAAAAAAATATAAACACTAGAATGAAATAACTAAAAAAGTAAATAAAGACATTTTAGAAAAAACATAAAACATATATAGGGGCGGCCACAAAACGGCCCAGTTTCCACGGCCACTTAAAGGACCCAGTTTCATAATTAACATATAAAAACAAAATAAAAAAACGCTTCCCGCGCGCTCCTGCCGCGCCCGTCTGTGCTGTGGCCATCGCCGTCTTCACTGGCCGCCGGTGTCGTCGTCGTCGCTGACGAGATCGACGTAGGCCGACAGCGTCCACAGGTGGGCCGGCGGTGCGTGGTAGACGGGGGCGGGCTGGACGGCCGGAGGTGCCTGCACCACCTCCTCCCGTGGCGACGCCTCCCGCTCCGGTGACCGCGGCGGAATGGGGCACCAGTTCACGCCCATGCCGGCGGCCATCTCCGGAGCAGTGCAGGACCAGCCCCACCCCTGGGCCAGCAGCTGCTGGAACGCAGCCACCGGCTCCTCCTCCTCGGGGATGGCTACCTCGCCGGCGGCAGAGCGGGCCGTCATCTCCTCCAGGTCCTCCCATTGCCGCTCATCGTGCGTGTACATGGAGTCCTCCGTGACACGCGCCATGAGATGGGCCTCCTCCTCCTCCGTCATGCGAGGAGGTGGTGGTGGCGATGGAGACGGCGACGGCGACGGCGTGGGCGTGACGCCGCGCACCCGCCTACGCCTGTGCTCCTGGGAGCAGGCGCTGCGCGCTCCTGTCGTGGCCGCCGCGGCCCCGTCGAGGTGCCGGCGAAGAACGACGCACGCCTGGTGTCGTGCTCGTCACGAGACCAGGTATCCCAGAGCCCGAAGTCGGGGGCGTATCTAGGGTCGTAGAAGAGGTCGTCGGAGAGGAGGCGGCGGCGGCGCTCAATCTCCTTGTCGCGCGCACGGCCGCTCGTCAGGACCGGCGGGATCGGGACCCGGTCGGCGGAGAGATGCCAGTTATTGGGGAGATGGACGTCGCTCCAGGGGAGCGGCGTCCTCGTCTCCCAATAACGGCGGCACACCGACGAGCGGACGTAATGTCGGTCGCGCTCGCCGGCGGACGTGGGCACGATGGAGAAGACGGGCAGCGCGGGGGCCCGACGTGGTGGCGATGGCAAGCCGCAGCGGCGTCCCGATGAGGAACCAGCCTCGCGGTCGTGCTTGCCTTTGCGGCTCATGGTTGCGGGCGGCCGGCCGGCGAGGTGTTGGCTGGGGTTTGGGACTGGGGCTGTCGGGTTTTGAAGAGGCCGCGGGATGACGTGGGGCAGTGTGGACGACGATCCGTCCACGCTTCCCACTTAAAGAAGGACGACGACTGTTCGACGTGCGGATGACAGGTGGGGCCGCCCACTCGTGTGCATTGATATGGGCGGGTGGGGGGTAGGTGGCCGCCTGCCACGCGGCCCCGACGCGGACGAGGCGCGCGTTCGTTTGGTGTCCGTCGCGATCCAAACTCAATGCAAGTTTACGTTTGAAATAGGTCGGCCCGGACACAAAATGGATAAGATAGGTACAGGCCGTCCTTTGTCCATTTTACCCTAAATTAACGGGGCCGGATAGAATAGGGTCGCGTGATGAAGTTGGCCTAAACAGTGTGGAGTGAAGTAGTACTGCGGGCTAGGGTGCGCTCCGGGGGTGCTATTGGATCGAGAGGAGTGACTCGGCCTGTCGGTGGCTCGAATCTTGGCACACAAATGCAGGGTACGTACTAGTACGTTCCACGTTAATGTTCGTGCAATGGGACCAACTCACTGACTGCCTGGCTCACCGGCCAACAGCAACAGGCGAGCATTGGTTTGCTGAATATTGGAATTGTCAAATATTAGCAATATCAAGACTCGTCAAATAGTATTGACAACTTTATGTGAGATACACGAAATAACTTATAACCAACTAAGTATAGTGCTATTTAGCGCAATGCCAAATTTTAGCACCAAACCAATTATGCTCTTGGTGCTCCAATCTGGATGGATAATTTACCACAGGTAACCCAACGTGCTCCATCAGCCTGTCCGCATATTCTGGAATCGAACTATTCAAACATTTTGTCCTCCAGCGAATATCATTAAATATATTCAAATTGATCATTCGTTCGAAATCACACAAACCAGCATCAAAATAGTGAGGCTTTTGAGGAGTCCGGGCGTCCGCCATGTCGGACTCCAATAACACGGACCCACCTAGAACCCATTTCTCTCTCTCTTTGCGTCTTCTCTTGCTTAACCGCATTCACTCCAGCAGACTAGCCTCCCACCTATTTGCATTCATGGAGAAACAGCAACCAAGAGGGTGCAACTATTCTCAGCTCGAGCTCAAATCAACCTGCATGAATAGCAAAATCATAAAAAAAAATCAAAAAAATCTGATTGTTTTGTGCGAAACATTGACAAAAGTTTTGAGTGTTTCCAAAATTTCATCATGAAATCACATCCGCGAAAAGGGTGGCAAAAAAGAATCATGATACAAAAAATGTCATTTTTAAAGCATTTTAAAGTGCTGATTTTTGTAGTCATTGCGACTTCCATGAATGTCATGTTTTACATCTCTTAAAACATTTGTTAAAGTTTATCACACTAAAAATTCAGATATTTTGTTTTTTCATCAGGTTTTTTCGAAACTGTTCACCCGAGCTCATTTGAGCTTGGGAGTAGAAGGACACTTTTGCAACCAAGAAGCCTACTTTGCTTTAAAGTCAAGCAAACTTTCTCCTCGCCAAACCATACCAGCACAATTCTCATCTACTCTCAATCCACTAGCCGCCACACATCACCACAACTCTGCCGCCGTGATGGCCAAGAAGTCAGACACTGAGAAGTGGTAGCTAGCTCCCGACTCCACATTCGGGGGCAGCTCCCTAAACTGCTTGCCGCTTTGGGTGTTGGGGGAGAAGGTGGAGATGTTTGAGGAGGAGGCCACCCTCATTTTCAAGGAGGAGGAGGAGTATTGTCATTATGCACTAGAGGTTGCGAAGAGGGATCCAACCCTCGATGAGCATCCAGATTGGAATACCAAAACACGCTTCGTTGTGTGGGATATTTAGCACGACGACATGTTGGCCCCCTATGATGAGGAGGATAGACCTCGATCACACAACTCATATCGACGACCACTTGCTCCAAATCGGACGACGACGGCTCGAGCGATGACGCCTGAGAGAGCACCCCTATGAAGTCAACTCCAACACCTCACCTAGTGTTAGTTAGGAGAGTTGTGTTACTATCGCATTGGATGCTAATTTTAGTTTTAGTCCGAGAAAGGAACCGACCACCTGAAGAGGCACACCGAGACAACTACCAATAGAGCTCAATATATATTCACATGACACTCTGCCTCTTTTACATTTTTTTATATTTGTTTCTTAAATTTTTAGATTTGTCCATATATTTTTATATCTTTTTGTATTTTTTTGAATTTTTAAAACGCAGAAGGTCCACAAGGCCAAATACTACCCATAAGATCGAAACACCGCAGTGGATGGCAAGGTAACCGTAGTCGCGCACTGGCAGGATCAATTGTGCTTCTCTCAAATTGTTTTTTTCTTTGTCAGTTTTTTCTAGTTTTTATTTTTATTTTCTTTTTTCAATTTTGTGTTTTTGAAATATGAGAACAATTTCCAAATAAGTAATTTTGAAATCATGAACATTTTTGCAAACATCGTTCAAATTCATGAACGTTTTTGGAATTGTGATTTTTTTAAAAATCATGAACATTTTTGGAATTAATGAACTTTTTCTGAAAACCATGAACACTTTTTGAAACCACGAATTAATATTTTTTGAGTTGGCGAATATTTTTTGAATTCGTATTTTTTTACAAATGCGCAAACATCGGTTGAAAATCTCTGAACATTTTCACAAATTCATGGACATTTTTTAATTCATTTTTTTTGCAAATTCGCAAACATTATTTGAAATCGATCGTGAACATTTGTACAAATACACGAACATTTTTTGTAATCATGAAGAGTTTCAAAATCATTAACATTTTATAAATTCTTGAAGTGTTTTTGAAATCATGATTTATTTTCATATCATTAAGATTTTTAAATTTATGAACATTTTTTGGATACCTGGAACATTTTTGAAATATCGGAAGGAATTTCAAATTCATGAACAAAATTTGTAATCTGAGAACATTTTTAAAATTTGTGAACTTTTTGAGGTTCAAGATATTTTTGAAATCCAATAATGCTTTTGTAATCCAATAACATATTTTCAAAATCTAGGATTTCATTTATAATTTTAAACATTATTTTGAAAATCAGAGCTATTATTGAAATCCTGGATGTCTAATAAAGAAGAAAAAACTGAACATAAAAAAAAATACAACAACAACAAAGCCTTTAGTCCCAAACAAGTTGGGGTCGGCTAGAGGTGAAACCCATAAAATCTCGCGACCAACTCATGGCTGTGACACATGAATAGCAAGCTTTCACGCACCCTTGTCCATAACTAGTTCTTTGGTTATACCCCAATCCTTCAGGTCTCTTTTAGCGGACTCCTTCCATGTCAAATTCGGTCTATCCCACCCTCTCTTGATATTCTCCGCACACTTTAATCGTCCGCTATGCACTGAAGCTTCTGAAGGCCTGCGTTGAATATGCCCAAGCCAAGCCATGTTAGACGATGTTGGAGAAAAAACAGGCGAGTCCCGCCCCGAAATGGGTCGGCCCAAAGCACGTGCCAGGCCGATCCCCGAGCTGGGGCCTTCGGTTTATGTTGGCGTGCCAGCCCATATGCTTACTGGTAGCAACAGAAGTTGCCTCCAAAAAAAAAAAAGGAAAAAGTGACGGGGTGGCCGGCGAGCCTGCTTTCGGTGGAGTGGAGTGGAGCGGAGCGGAGAGCGAGCCTCCACTGTCGGCGGCGCTGTCGCCGTCGCCGTTGCGGTCGAGGGTTCGCGCGCGCGCGCGGTGGCGTTCTAATCTGGCCCTGCTGGGCTCTGGTGGCAGTGTTTAATTCGCCGGCGGCGGCCTCTGGTGGCGGAGGAGGAGGGGGGAGGGAGATGGCGGCAGCGGCGCCGTGCGCCGCGCGGAGGTCGTTCAGGGAGTCGCTCAAGGTGCTGGAGGCCGACATCCAGCAGGCCAACAACCTGTGAGTATGAGTACCCCCCCTCCCTCCCGCGAGAGAATCCCCTTCCTCAATTTCTTCAGTCTAGGGTGTGCTGTTTCCGACTGAATCCGTCTGTCCCCGGTGCTCTGCCGCAGGGCGTCGGACTTTTCGCGGGACTACGACGGGGCGTGCCTGCAGATGCGCATGTCCTACATGCCCCGCTGCGAACATTTTCCTCTTCCTCCTGCAGCGGACCGACTGCAGCATCGCCGGCGCCCCCGGCCTCCTCAGGATCCCCATCTACAAGGTACCTCTCTTCTGTCTCCGGGCCTGTGCTTCTCTTCCAGAATTTGTGCCATATATATTGTGCTGACAGTGCTCGTTGTGGCTGTGTTCTTACCGAATCTTGCCTCTGCTTCCATTGTCTCTGCAGGTTTATGTGGACGGCACCACAACCATTTGTCCACCCACGAAAGGAAACCCAGCACCAAGGAATTCTTTCTACGGTAACTAAACAAACGTCCTGCAGAAACTGAATAATAAGTACAGCCTTTGCGGTTAGGACCTGTGAACTGAAAATTTCCCATGTCTGTCTGTCTACCGCAGCTGTGACATTTCCCTCCCTTGTGCAACTGGAACACGGGATCAGCGACACCGACGACCCGAGGCAGAGGGTGGTGTGCTCGGAGAGGTACAGGAGGAGAGACGGCGAGGGGGAGGATAGCAAGAGGCCGGTCTCCAAGATAGAAGAGGAGTGTGGGATCCGCGTGGAGTTAAACAGCAGGGCTGTGCTGCATCCACGACATGTGCATCGAGTGCTACAGCCAATGGTGAGTGAGAACAGGAACCTGACCCTCGCGTATTTTTTTTGTTTTGTTTTGTTTCTCTGCCATGTTTGTTCAGTTCAACTTCAACCAACGAGTAATTAAGCTGGCATGACCATCATTTATGGAAAATATGCAGCAACCTCTGCATCTGCTCACCAGCTTCGTCCTTGGTTCCTACAAGGCCTCACCTTCTTACAAGTTAGGTTCTTAGCAGCCTGCTTCCGGTCCCGTCATGCTGGAGCATGCGGCGCCTGCCCCCGTCGCCCCAGAGCCCGCACAAGAATCAAAAGGATGCAACGCGTTAGCTAGGTTCGAATTGATTGATATGTAGTTTTGCTTTCAAAATTTCTTATGTTAATCATTGAACACTACCAAATCAAAATCTAATAAAAACATGATGAGAAATACTAAAGATTGTTTAAAAACTGAATTTAGCATTTAATACATGTATCCCGCAAATGCACTAACGACCTTGGTAGCTTCCCCATATAAATATGTGAGAAGAGAGGATGTAGGTCGAGAGGCAATGAGGGACAGTTGGAGTGAAATGTGATGCAGCAGCTCAGCTGTAAACAGGTGCTGCAAGGCTAGCTTCACGAGCACATTCAGATGACCTGGTGCACAAAATAGTATGTAACATGGCAGCACATAATGACAAAATATACATGGGAGCGAGGTCAATATATACCATGGCCTACTATCCATATGTTCCTTAAAGGTCAACCACATCTCAGAGAAACTAGCTAGGGAGGGAAATGAAACATGAACTGGTCATTCATTCGAACTCCCCAATGTCCTTCTGTCCGGCAAGGATCCTTGAGATCTGGAGGCCCCGGCTGAAGGCCTGGTTGAAGAGCAACCGTGTCTGGAACTCTGAGACAAAGGGAAACCACGACAAGAAGCCGATGGGAAGGAAGAGGATGAGACCCATGATGTTGTCATATGCCCTCCCTAGCTCCTGGATGGAGTCCCACAGTATAGTCCTCTCGATCATTGGAGCGCATGCTTGCCCAATCTGCGAAGAAGGAAGGGAGGCTCAACATAAGTATGCATGCATGCTACTAGAGTTTGCTTCTGATCAATAATAAGTTTTTCAATCCGTTAACTAGTAGAGAATTAATTAATTAATTAGTCAGTGTTGTTTTCTGGTTCTGTGCTTGTTCGCACGCTCATGAGCAGGTAGACTTTTTGTTGTTGTTGCATATACATACAAATTAAAGCTCGCAATTAATAGTAGATAAATAGAGGGTTTTACTCACCAGAAGAATACACCAACCAGTTGGTAGGAACCCGAGAGTACAAGCCAATACATCCGTAATTGTTAGGCCGCCTATAGCAAATAGGACCGCCATCACAGTGACAAAGCCAAGAAAGAGAATGCCCTTCAGGATGCGGAACATAAGCTGAAGATCTGTCCCAAATTTCTGCCGTCCTATTGAAACCATCTGAAGAGAATTGAGGTACAACATCCAGATCCAGATGTTATGCATCCATCGGAGGCAGGTAACTGGTCAAAATTAAACGAAATGCCAAAGCCTTACCTTCAATACTACTAGAACCGTCAGCATAACCAGCCATGACAACCCATACACCTAGAGGTGGATCGACAGGAAATGAAAAGTACATCCATTAGGATACACTGCAACCAGGCTGTATGCACTAGTACAAATTGATTAAAGCACATCTTAATTATGTAGAGAAAGTACCAGAATGCTTGTGCTGTGGCGCGCAATTTTGAGATGATACACAATACCATACTGGTAGATCAAGAAACGAAGAGACATGAGGATTTCCAAGATGAGAGCACGAATGCTGGTTTTCCTGAGGTGCGCTTGCTCACTTCTCCACCAAGCCTCCCAGCTTTGTTCCCCAGACATACCGATACCCCCACGGTTACCCATCCACTTCCTCCAATCTGTCCAGTCATCAACCGTCTTCTGCCACTCAAAGCATGATGGATTGAAGATAAATGGTGCAAACAGCCAAGATGCCACCATGAACCATATGGAGAAGGTGACAAATAGGTACAAGCTCGTGCTGGTGCGGTACGATCTTCCATAGGCTAGATATACAACCAGAAGTATCAACAGCTCAAGTCCTTTAACAAAGTGGCTTCGGGAGTACATGCGATAATTTTCAGCAAACTTTGCATGGTACACAACAAACCCACGTCCTGTAGGTATGTATTTGGCGCCACCATGGAGAATTGTCCGCCCGTAGTAGTGTGTTTTGGTGCCAAGCTGGAATGTGAAGAACACAGAGGCCAACTGAAGCTGCATGATGATGAACTCTCCTAATGCTGTGCGAAATCCCTTCTCTAAGCCCACTTCCATGACCATTGGGAGGACAAGCAGCAAACCAAGCTGGAAAACTGACTGTGAAGCGAGTACATTTTGAAGAGGCTCGATATTCTCCTGAATACGTGGATCCAGCAAAATAGACTTTTCCAGACCACTCAAGACGAGATATAACCTCCCATACAAAAATACATAGACTGTAAGTACAGTAACCTGAAAGGAGGAACTATGGAGTCAGTATCCCAAAATACATATATGCAGAATGAACACATAATACGTGTTGTCCTGTTGAGACCATGGCCATATTATCTGTAAAATTCATGGATAATAACTGAAATCCTGAGAGTGACCATTTTAAGGAAATCGTATTAATGATGCCAAACATTGTTGATTTTCATTCAAATGATGATATTGCTGCTTAACCATTTTAACATACTGGTGCATGATGATACAAATGGCTTGAACTTCGATCATCTCCACCTAATTCTCCTGTTTTCTTTCACAGGATTTTTTTAATCTATAAATAACTCTCATAATTTGGATTTTAAATAAATATTCACCACGATTCTCTCCTAGCTACCTACGGTCCAATAAAAAAATGCATCAGAAAGGAGATAGCGTAGGCATTACTTAGAGAAAATGTTCCTCCTTGATATCTTAAGTTAATGTATTCTTACCATGCTACTGAAATAAAAGCCAACTGTAGTGAAGTAGAAAGATAGCATTCTGTAGAAGTCAAATCTGCGTCCAAGACGATAGATGTCACGAGTCAATGTTTGTTCACCATTGCCATTGGCAACCTTAGCTTCAAAGCTTGAAATTTGGTTCATTCCCACATCACGTCCTTTACCAACTTGCATGTACTCATGATGTGTGATATTTCCTCCTCTCATTGTTGAATTAAAACCTAAGAAACATGAAATTCAGTAAATGCATTTTCAGTAAGGGATGACTGTAAAATGTTTGCAAGAGATGTAGACTTACCTGAAAATATATCTTCGCTTAAATTTATAGTCTTGGAAGCTTTACTTATGCCACCCCTAGTAATATGGAAGAGTCTATCAAAAATATCAGGATGGCCATAATGGAACCGAACCCTGCAGTGGTACATTACAATGAGTTAGAGGGACACAAAGCCTCATGATCAAAAGAAAATGCGCATCTTGCATACATAAATAAACATACAAACATGAGAAAGGATTGAACAAAACTATTTAACAATATGACAAAAAGTTTAGTGATCCTTGCTTTCATCTCGTAATACTGTTAGTTGCCTTTGTACATAGTACGATTGTCTAACATGGTCTGACATATTTGTGCAACAATTTACCAAACGATCTTGAATTTCTTTCTTTACCCACCCACTAAACCTTCATATTCCCTAAATTCATGATAGTCTACTTGACATAAGTTGACGAGATCACAGCAAGTAAATAAAGATTACCAGGCTTCCCAGCAAATTGTCAGGACTGGGCGGACCATCTTAGCAACTACAAGTAAATCAAAGATTCTAGAGTATCTCTGGCCACATACAAAGTGTCACTTTATGAAACATGGTTTTATTATAAATTTCAGCAAAGTTGCAATTCGTGGTTAGAACAAAAGTACATATTAGCTACAAATTGTGGAACTTGAATTGTAATGGTTTTAAGGGGATACCAATCACAGTTAGCTCTTCTCTTTTGTCTAACCATAACTAGCAATGCTTTAACTCTTTATATCAGACTTACATTCTCCTTCAAAATAAATCCAATGTTCTTGCCCTCTTTGTAGCACATTATACTATTTTTCTAGGCTACAACTATATTTGACAGATTAGGAATGTAGTGTAGAGCATGTACATAATTTATTATACTTTATAAATGTTTAAGACTTAAAGTATCTAAAGGAAGTTATTTTTGGCACGAATTCCTCGCAAGATAAATCTGAAATAAATTAAAAATACTCCCATGGTCATGGACTTGTGGTTTGACCAAAACGGTAGTGGAACTGACGGCCAACTCGAAAAAAATCTATTAAAAAGCTTGGATTAATAGTTCTATACGAAAATAAAAACAATGGTACATACTTGAGAGGATTTGCCAGAACTCGCTGTCCAATCGTAACAAAGCTGGTCTCTTGATTTGACATAAACCAAGCAAGTGATGAAACACTAGATAGAAAAAAAGGTTACTTACAGAAAAATATATCATAAATGGGATGAACAAGATGATATTGGACAGAACTTTGGATAGATGGATATACCTTCCAGTAAAAATATGCTCCCGGAGACCTAATATAGTGGGTTTGCTCTTTCCATATTTGTCACTCTCGAACTCCTCCAGCACATTTCTCATTTTAAATGCCTCTTCAAGGTAATTATCCTACAAGTAAAGAGGCAATAGTTACCAGTAATTTATTACCATTGTCCTGTTAATTTAAATATCTAGGAATAGTTTAGGACCTTTAGGTTAGTTCTAACTGACTCCACATGGTTTCCCTATGACTCCTACATGCATATATTGACCATCTGGGCCACAATTCAGGTTATCGTTGTTTCTCTCTGCAACTAGCATGGTATTGGTATTGTAACCAGCATTGGGCTCAAGACTTAGATGTCACAGTTTAAGAGAATGTTCTCTATAGTTGCATGTGAACATGATTTTTAGTGTTTTTGGGCAGAGAAGAGTGTGCGGCAGCAAATGAACACGATCCAGTAGTACAATTGGATAGTGAGACTGTTTTGAGGTGTGTTTTGAGAATGTCGACCAAGTGTAGTTAGCTGTACCCAGTTTTTGCCCCAAAATTCACAAATGGCTGATGGATCTGAGTGAAG